AGGATCAATTGTTATTTCACCGGGCTACGCAATCATGCTTGGAGGTGACAACCTTTTCGTGTCTGGACCTTGCTTCAACTCATCAGATGAGATCATATGTAAATTTTCTGGCGACAAAGCAACCAACGGAAGTCATATAAGTCCCATTCAGGCATCTTGCACTGTGCCAATGCTTTATTTGACTGGCAGGTTGACAATGAAAATGTCAATAGATGGAGGAAGGAGTTTCGATTACCAAGGCATCATCACCATTGGTAAGATTAGACTTTGGAAAGTTGTGGTAAAGCCTAGTCTTTTACACTGCATAAAAGACTATTTTGCTAAGGCCCTCAGTCTATTCGTTGACCCGGGTGTTGCCTGTGAGTAAGTTTCTTCGAAAAACTCGATTCAAGAGGCTAGGTTTTTAAGTGGAATATGCCGTACAAAACGGTCTCATTTGTGTAAAAAAAGGTAAGTCTTGGGAGATTTTTGGTTAAGCTTATGCCTAAAACTGTTTCTTTAGTATATCTGAAAATGGCTACATTTCATAAACTTTAGAATTACCATATCTCCAACTGCACCCCTTAGAGGGTCACTAAAACCTTACGGGCGTGTCAATCTTGGAGCATGACAATCCCACCTCCATTGGTTAGGAGCTCGGGTGATTCAGAATTTTGAGTAGTGACGTGTCTATAGCTAACAATTCATCTGATTCAGGTATATGTATATAGTTTTTTATTGATGGTGCATCAGAGTTTTTAAGTCGGGACGTATCCTTACCTAACACTTGCTCTTATTCAGGTATATGTAGATCGGTTTTTATTGATTTTTGCTCCTTGCCAGTTAACATTGTCAAATTCAAGCCAGCTGTCGTACGGCATATGGCAAAGAAGTGGTCTGAACAGAGTCAAGTCCGGATTACATGGGATCCAGCGTACCTCGGAGGCGAGAATCAGAGAGTAACAGTTCAACTGGCACGTTTTTCCATGAAGAGCGACCGACAGGTGGTTTTTCATAGCACATTCAATGTAGTGGCAGGTCAGGAAAATGACGGAACCAGTCAGTTCGTCGTGCCAAAAGGAGTAGGTCAAGGGTAAGAAGCCATCATTACTTTCATTTTCAATCATGCCCAAAATAAACTCAGTCTACAGCAACTTCAAACTCATCGAAATGACGATGAATCATAAAGAACCTCCTCATTAAATTCAAAGCTTACGCTAAATCGTCAACGATGGAAAAGCTTAAATTTTTCCTATAATGAGTCTGGGTAAGTATCTAGTTGATCGAGAAATGATTATGTAAAATTAATTGTTTGCTGCGTTATCGAATATTTTGTTCTCGAAGCTAGCGAAACTTTTCTCTTCAAATCACAACGGCAGAAAAGTACATTGTTAGTCGAAAGTACACAAGCCTTCTCAATGAGAACCTTTTTTAAAATTTTTTTGCGTTCACAAACCTTTAGAGCAACAGCTGGGGATGATCGCTTTGTCACACTGGTTCTAGTAAAAAGGATTGCTGGCAACTTCGGCAATTCCCCTGCCGAGTGGATCTGGAGCGATCCATTCCACTGGTTAAACTACGAGATTGCTAAGCAGAGATGTGTGCACTGGTATAACAGGCAGCCTAATCCAAAGACATATACAGGTGAATCACAAAATAGCCCATTTTTTATTTAAGCGAGATCCTGAGAAGCTCAGCAGATAACATTTAGTTGAGGGCTACTAGTAACGGCAAACACAAATCTCAATTAGCCGAGATTACAACGCTACGAAAATATCAACAAAAACTCTAAAATAAATGAGACAACAGCACAACAGGATGGTCCTAGAGGAGAGGTCTTTCATAACAATGTTTTTAGGCAGAC